GGAAAAGGAAAGAAAAAATAAAAAAAACTTGAAAAGAAAAAGAAAAAAAATTGGGGAAAAATAAAAGAAAGAAATCGGTCTAAAAAAAAAGATCAAAAAATAAAAAAAAAAAATAATAATAATTATCAGTTTTGGAAAAAAAACCAAATCTAAATGGAGAAAAAATGAAAAAAAAAGAAAGAGGAAAAAAAATGAAAAATTTTTAAAAAAAAAGAAAAAAACCAAAAAAAAAAAAAATTCCGATTAGTTAGATGATGTACAACATGACTTGCCAATCAATCGGGTCTTAACTATAAAAAACCCAATTCAAATTAATTTATATTAATTATATTATTTTTGTAAATTTTTTTTTTGGATTTTTTTTAACAAAAAAAAATGTTTTTATGAAAAAGAGAAGATAAATCAAAAATGGAAAGTGTCTTTCCATTTTTATTTTTATAAAATTTTTTTTTGACAAAAAAAAGAGTCTTTTTTTACGAAAAGAGAAAAGGTAAAACAAAAATGGGAAGTTATTTCCTTTTCAATCAATTAGTTGAGACCAAATTTGGACTTAATGCAAAAATCTAATCCATAAAAATGCACAAATTTTCACAAATTTTCCATTTTAACAAATGATTGTCAATGATCTAATGCATTCCAGGATATGATCAACATTTCGGTACAAAAAAATCTATCGAATTATTTGATGAGAGTATATAAAATTTAGAATTAATAGTATAGTGCAACGTTGGCGCAGTAGTTGCTTCCGGATAAATTCGGGAGTTTATTGTAACATACGGTAAATACATTACGAACGAAAAACTAATACATATCCCTATAAAAATGTTTGTCTTATAAATATTCAATTTTCCGAACACATGCACGTTATTATACAATATTTGTTACAATTTAATACAAGATGCAGAGATTGAGAAATTTCGACTACATAAAAAACGTACAATATCATGATAAATGTCCAATAAATGTCAAGTAAACGGAGTTAATTTTCCGAACAAAAAACTGAACAGTGTTTGGACAACTTTTTTTATAGGGAAACGATAACGTATTCGTCTTTTTAATAAATACTAGATTAATTTTATTTTTGTTTTTTCCAGCCATATTTGACTAAATAAAAGAAAAATGTAAAAAAAAAATGAAATAAAATAAAATAAATGGTAACTTGGGATTATATTTCTTCAGTTGTACAATACAATATTTTCTCAACAATCCTGAAAAGAAAAGAAACACGAAAAAAGACTAAATACCAATTCGAATACTCCTCAAGTAAACGGTTAATTCATAAATATATTTTTAGTAATCTAATTAACGATTATTCCTTAAAGACTACAGAGTTTGATTGAAGGAATATAAAAATAAATTTATTTTGACTGAACAAGCATATTATTTAAAAAAATTTGTTATTGATTGAAACAACATTATAGATGAAAGCTTCATACTCTCAATTGCTATTTCTTATAGTTAGAACAAAAAGATTCTTTTACTAGTAAACAATTGTTGGTAAAAAATAATTTTGTGATTCCATTCATTACTCTATTGTACATATTTTTATTAATTTAATTACCAATCGTCAGGTTAATTAATGGCAAAAATCGCACAATTGTGAGAAACTACATAATACTAGAGAAGGGAATTATATAATAAAAATCATATGATATATGAAAAAAACCCAAAGCAAAATCTATATAACTAAAAAAATACAACGTGTAACCGTAACGTTTAGTTTAGCATGTATAAATAGTTTTGAATTGTGTAATGTATTTTCCGCTTGTGCCTAATCTATTCCATGTTAGCGTAAGATTTTTTTCGCTCTTTATTTTCTAAATTATTAAAGTAAGTTCAGGTATGAATTCCGAATTGCAGATCATCGCTATTATTACCGAAATTAGATTTGTTATTAATTATATAATTAGAGAATTATACATATCCTTTTTGGTTAGATTATCGATCCTGAGAAGGTCGGGTGACTCGGGTCGGTTGTATTTTTTTTTATAGACTAACCCATTTTTTTTACGTAATTTTTTTTTATATAAGAACTTTTTCTCGTTATAACTTTTTTTTTTGTTACATATCGGCTGATTGGAAAAATCAAGCCAATTAATATTTAAGCTCAATTGATGGGTTCATTATATAACTGATGGGTTACTTATTGTCATTAGCGTATAAAATTATGGGAGGCTTTTCTAATCAGCCGATATGATTTGATTTTTTGGGTAAATTTAGACCTGTGATGTTTAAATCTCGCTTTATTCCAAAAAAGGATATTTTATATGCCGATCATTTAATTCTGACCAGAATTAAATAAGTCACGTGATTTAACGGAAAAAGACCCGGGGTTCCTTAACGTACACTGGGGCGTACGATGTTAACGTACGGAACTGGCCGGAATTAACGCACGTGCTTCTAAGCTCGGGCCGCCAGGAGTACGTTAAGATTGTACCCCCCCCGTAAGATAAGGACGCCCGAGCACCGACGAGTTGAATATTTTTGATTTCCCATCTCCAATTTTTCACCCTAATGCTCATTTTAATAATAATGAAAGAGAGGAATATGGTGATGAATCTAGATATACACATTTGTATATAATTATTTATGAATAAATTTTTCAGTATTAAATGGTAAATAGTAAACTATAATTTTAATATTTAATACTTTTACCTAAGAATTTTTATTAAAAATGTTCGTGTGATACAAAAAAATTATTAAAATATCTAAATCAATATTAATAAATAAAACTAGGATTAAATCTTGCACCAATTACAATTACAACTGGTTGGAAAATTACGGCAAAACGTTGTCACAACCTTCCAACTCTTTCATAACTATTACGGCACGCAACACTAATATATACTATAAATTTAAAAAATCGAATAACAAGAAAAAGAGTTTCTACATATCAAATTTTTGTCGGCCCTTTCTTGATTTTCTTGAAGCATTCTACTGGCGGTAGGTTCCGTTTGATTTAGATTTGTTAAATCATTGATTCTATTTTTAGCGACATATACATGTTTTTTCATTTAAGTAATTAGAAATTTTTTTTTAGATTAATATTATTTAAATATATAAAAATATATATTATAAATTTTCTTACCTCAATCTTTTTCACTGTGAATTTATAAGCATCATATGTATTAGCTACAAATAAATTTTCTGGAAACAATTCATCAATAAGTTCCTCTGGAACTGTTGAAGGCCAAAAATTTAATGAACCATCTTGTAAATAAATGCTTAATGAATCCGTTTCCTTTTGACTTTCTAAAGTTAAGAATCGTAGCATGAATCGTTTTAAAGCTAAAGCGAATGCCTCTGCTGGTATAACTTTTTTCGTTGTAGTTTGCTGCTTAAAACCTAAAGATTCCATTATTGCCGCCTCCATATCCGTTGAAAGTTTTTCCTGATATTTTTCGTGAATATATTTAATTTTAACATCGGCAACTTGTTCTTCGACGAGCTCATATAAGGACACCAAGTGTTTAAGTCTTAAATCAATATCTAAAATTTTAGAGAATTCTCTATGTTCATACAATGATGATAGTTTCATCCATTGTAAGACAAAATCCTTAATGGGTCTGTCTCCATCTCCAACTGCTGTACGCTTGACGAAACATAGAAGTATTTCCAATGATGACAAAATTTCTGACGAGTTATCTATAGTCGATTTTGAAGCGTATTCTAAACGGGAATTTATAGAAAAACCTAATGGATTCATTTTTTCGATCGGGATTGGCTCTTGGGTTATTTGATTCTTAATATCACTAAGAATTCTTCTCATACATCCTTGAAATAGCTCCATGTGATACGGGAAAGTTTCAAGATATAATTGGGAATCTGGTAGAGTTTCTATATAAACTTTCTCGAAAACTAGAATATTTGCCAATTCCGCTTCAATTTTTGTCAAATCATACACAATATCTTCTCCTCTTGCAATTGCTAAATTTCTTTGACTATATGCAAGAATCTCATCATCCCAAACAAAATTTATAATATTTCCAGAACGAACATGATCAAGACGTAGAGATTGAAAGCAATATCCATTGGGTATAACTGGTTCTGTTTTCGAAATTGCTAGTTCGATATCAAATGTGATTTCATCTAAAAACTTGAGAGATTTACAAGTTCCAGGTGGAATTACTATAACTTCTTGTAAGAACTGGTTTTGCAAGTCAACCAAATAATCTAAAATAGCGCATAAGAAAATTCCTGCATCTTTCGGTTCCACTAAACCAAAAATAACTGGAAGACTATAACCCATGACTGGTTTTTCATTGGGAAGTTCATGACATTGATATCGATTTACGAAAGGTATTACTGTATTCCAACCAAGTTTAAAATCATTAAAAGCGGTATTCAAATTATTGAAAATTTCTTCATTTCTACCATCATTGGATTCCTTTTCTATAAATTGTCTGAAATTCATATCTTTTGCCGTTTGCCTTGTTAATTGATATCCAAGTTTGGCATTCAAAATTTGAACAAATTTTACGATAGGTAAAAGATGTTTGAGTAATTCTATTTGTTTAGAATGTTTGAAAAATACAGAGAGAAATGGATGGTCGTCGTTTCTCCTTGTCAAATCACTCATATAATAAGCACGAAAACTATCGAAATTAATTATTCCAATCGTTCTCCATAAATTTGGTAAATTCTCACTTCGATATTGTTTATCCATAACCAAAGTCTGATTAATTTCACATTCAATTAAGTTACCTTTTTTATTTTTAGTTAGAGCTTCGTCTAATTTCATACGATAATTGGTTGCTGTCTCGTTTATATTTTTAGTTAGTGGTGCAATATAATTATTATGGAACATTGTTTCCCAATTCGTGCGTTCAGCAGATGTATTTATTTGCTGATTCGGCAAAGGTTTTTCCATCATTAAAGAAATTAGTGAATGGAACGCTAACGCCAAATTCTAGTTAAATCATAGATATTTTTTTGGTTAATAATTTTATTCATTTTACTAATTGGACAGGTATAACAACAGAAAAAAAAAAAAATTTTAAACATACCGCATCTGAACAATTAAGAAGTTTCTTGAGAATGTCCCAGTCATTTTGAATATGATCCATACAATATTTTTCAGAATCTAAAGCGACTTTATTATTTTTTTGAAGAAAGGCAAGGGCAGGTTGAGGTGCAGACGCTCCAATAAGAACATGAATAATTAAATGTAGCATACGATACGATGTAGGAGGAAGAGATCTGACGGAATGATACAGATCTTGATTAACTGTTTCTCCAATATACCCTGATTGATCATTTACTGCTATTTGGTGAACCGGACCAGCATCAAGTCTAGTATTCCCAGCTTCTGGTTTATTATAATTCGCTCCACCAATTGTACTTCCACAATTTGGACATTTACCAGTTTGAACAACATTGCCACATTCTCCAACTATATATATACATCCGCATTTGCAGGCATATCTCGTCTTGACTTCAGGAATTGCATTTAACACCATTGATACCACGTCGGACATACACGTTAAAATAAACATATTCTGACAATTTTGTAGATTGTGTAGATACATTGCAAGTTGAGATGAATTCGGTTCAACCAATGCATGGAATGCGAAAATATGTGAGATAACAGATTTTATAAACAAATCGGTATTATTAATCTCTGGATTGACAATTTGAAGTAAAGGTTGCTTATTCGATAAGATATTTGTTGCAATTGTTTTAAATGAATTCGATAAGTTTATTCCGGTAAGTTCTTTAGTCAAGAAATCAGCCGATTGCACTTCTGAATGTCGCCATTCTCTTGAAGCTCTTAAAGCATGAAGACGTACAAATAAGAGTCCCATGAAAGATAATTTTGCTGTTATAGTCATATTCTGCTTTACTCCTTGGATATATGTTTGGAAAGGTGCCTTATTTCCTACACTATAGAAGGCCATAAAGCTGTTTTCTGTTTCATTATATTCGGGCATATTACAATATGGATTAAAAGATAACCGATTTTCATTAATATCTTCCCAGTTGAAAGTCCTAAGCCACGGTAAAAAATTTTTTTGAGCTTCACAAAATCTTTTAATGTCATCAATTGAAAAACCTCTCCGACATAAATCTCTTAAAAAATAAATTTTAAGTGAATGAATCAAAGGATGAGAAAAAGTCAAAATATTATTGATTTGATTAATTATTTCATTATTAAAATTGTTTTCATCTGCTCTGTCAAATACAAGGGGATTATTTTTATCTTTCGGAAGAAAACTATCCCAGAATCGACGAACGAATTCTTTAAGGAATGCAATAGAAACTATTTTTTGTAACGGTGGTCTTCCTTGTTTATATAAAGCTTCAAGAGCCGGTCCAAAAAAAGCCGCGAAATTTTCCAATTTCTCATTCATGAAGAAGCTTTGTTCAATGGTATCACAACATAAAGTAGCCATGTTTGTATCCAAATCTCCTAAACATTTATTAATAAGATTTAACCGAGCAGATTGTCTTACAGCTTCTTCGAAATCTGTAAGTATCGTAAAGAAAATGCCCTCATTTTCTACGTCTTCTTTAATAAATATCCTTTCAATGATTGCACCCATTAATGGAAAAGGTTCATTCGAGAATAATTTTTTATAAAAACTTAGTAGAGTATCTGATTTGATAGGAATCAATGCAAGGCATCTCATGATAAATGTTCTTTTTGGAATTATATTTTTCTCATTTTGTTCTAGTTTATCCAGCTTATCAAATACGGTGTTGATAAATTCTTCGGAAAGAACTTCTTGCTCGTCTAAACTTAATCCAAGTTGAACAATTTCTTTAATGCTATCTAAAGGAATGGTCTTTGCTGCAACTAGATCGTTTACAATACGTAACAATTGAAGATCTGGTAAATTCTTTGCTCTAGTTATTTTATTAACGAGAGATAATACTTTTGTAACATCATGCTGCCATTTATCGATCAAATGAGCATTTTCTGCGACTTCAAAATTTCCACAAATTCGCTGTAACATTAGTTTTGTCACTTCTTTAACTAGATATTTTTCCAAACTTCCTCTAATAATAGCATTTCCTTGAATTTCAATATTTTTAATTATTATGGGAGACATTTGAGCTAATTGTAATAGAGCTAAAACTTCGTTAGCATTCCTCCACCAATATGAGTGAAGGAAAATTGGTTGACGCACTTTATCGGTACCGATGAGTAATCTTAAAATTATTGTTAACATTTTTTTATTCTTTGTCTCTCCATCTTTTGACACAATAACGGTTACAAAATCTTTAAAATATAATTCGGAAGCCCATTCCCATTCAAGAGGTGAATTTTTTAATTGCGGAATCGACGTAAGAAGATTATTTTTAAACTCTTTTAAATGATCTTCAATCACATAATCGTAAAGTTCATTAGTTTCGTCGTCAATTTTGTCATCATCCCTTTGTAATATCAATATTTCTTCTTCATAATGTCTTTTAAAACTATCAATTTGTTTCATATAATAAAATGAAAAAGGAAATTCAAGATCGAGTAAACTTTCCGCCGGCATATTATATCCATCAGGTTTTGGATTTGGTATATCATCAATTTTGACAATTTTGTTATCCATAAAAATTTGTTCCCAAAATTTAAGTAATTTCTCATAGTTTCCTTTTTTTGACTTTGTTTGATCAGAAACATAGAAAAATGTTTTTATCGCCGATAATCTTTCTAAAGCGCATAAAATCCGCGCTATCGGTTCTCTAAAAAGTGTTCTAACGTGAGCTTGTAATGCTGCAGAAAATGAAGGGTATGGATATAAATTTTGTTTATTTGATGCTATCTTATATTGCCAGTCACTTGTAGAATTCTCTTCAACCCATACAAGGACTCTTTTTTTCAAACATTCAATAAAATTTGGATGTTTTAGAATTTTTTCGTTTAATGTCCTAAAAAATAATTTAATGCAAAAAAATTCTTAATAAATATAATTATTAAATATCATACAAATAAATAATATCGCTTACTTTATATAATTGATTGACTCGTCGTTCGATGGATATTTCATACACGATAAACACCATAAGAGTTCTTGTTGTAAAATTTTTTCGAATGGATAAGTTGAATTAACAATACGAGTTAACGATTCATCTAGGAGACCTGATGTAGGAACGTCACTTCCTGATAATGTTTCAATAGTCATTTGTTTCCAACCGCACATGAAATTAAAAGATGTAAAAGTGGATTCTTGATCTCGATGAATATGAAGAATGATACATGCATGTTTCGTAGGCATTTCCCGTTCCATTTGATCTCTCTTTGATATATATTCATTTCGAAATTGTTCAATAATGAATTTGGCTAGTTTAATACATCCAGTATTAACGGTAGTTAAATCACATTGAAGAATTAACATTTGATCGGTTGATTCTGACCAGAAGTGTTTTACCCTGTCTCTTATACACATCTAGATGTGTATAAGAGACAGGTCATATTCTGCTTTACTCCTTGGATATATG